AATCTGACGTGACATGTTCGTACGAACCCTTTGTATAAACAAAAGGAAGAGAAATTTAGAATAAGAATACAAACATGTTCTTGCATGCGGTCCATTGTAGTTTGTTGTAAAAAAAGAAGCAACATTTTAGAAAATCCGTTTTCGAAAATGGCAACTTACTTCACTGATTCAAGAAGAAGAACTGGAGCAAATACAGAGGCTCTTACAAGATGTTTCAGCTTGGTAATATATCTCCCAGTCATCATTCCATACATATATTCAGTGTTAAACTACTTTTTGCAAAGAAATTACAAGTATAGATCATTATGAATATACATTTAGCAATGAAATCATATCATTTTGTAAATAATCATTTCTCCTGCCACTGGTCTGGTGGAGCTGAGTGATGGAGGCATGGGAGAGGGGTGCTCTGTGGGGCGGGAGCTCGGATGCAGACTGATCTCCAGGGAGGAGCTTTGTGTGACTAGGCAGCTCCAAATGGCTTCCACAGGAAATTCAAGGATTTCTCAAACATGCATGAATGAGTCAAACCAACACTCTGGCTATGTTTTTGATGAAGAAATTACATTATAATGTGATATAAAACCTGAAAAAGTCAATTTTGCATAACATTGCCTCTTTAAAGCCTTCATCTATCTGTATTTTATACACATATAGTCCTATATGTGTGTCGTAAAATAGTGTTTGGACTTCCTCATGTGCAGATCCAAACATAAAAAAAAAATGCATCAGCAAGATAACAGAAGATGCATTCATACGTTTTTGCATTCAAATACACCATAATACTCAGTAAAGGCAAACAACCCTAGATGTGTCACATCAGTACCGCCATAGATGCTTCAGGTCTTCTCCTGTGCAACATTTGACCTCTGCTGCACACAAGCAGCCCACTCCTCCAGGTCAATGACTCGGACAAACGAGCACGAGGGAAGAGCGATTTCAAAGTAAAGAAACAAAATGCATCCATGTGCATGACTACACATAAACAAGAGAATATATTCATAGCCATTTAGATCAGATCTACTTTGTGTATCATGACCTCTACTGCATCACACCTGACCCCCCCCCCCCCCCCCACCCCCGGGACTGCACACATGAACACAAGCAGGTGGATTAACAGTCGTCCAGCCATTGTCCTGTCCTGATGGTTGATGGGAAACAGCTGGATGTGCATTTTAGTCTTGAGTCCATCATTCTCTTCTCTGGTGGAACTCTTTCCTGATTTTAAAATGGGAATGTGCACAAATACCTCACAAACCATATATAAATGTTGTAGCGCTCACCCATCACTTCCACTCTTCACAACTCTCCAATCTACAAAGATAAGGGCTGTTATACGCAGCCTGTTCTGGCTGCTATCTGTGTGATGCAAGTGTCCTGAAACAGAGGTTGACTCCAATCACACAAACTGAAGGTGTGCGCTCAGATGCAGATACTCTTATAGGCTCAGACAGGTGATTTTGGAAGAACAGAAAAATGAGTTGACACGCAAGAATGACTGATGCAACTTCAGATAGTTCAAGGTACGAGTGACAAAAGGTGACCGGAGTTTAGACAAAAGATGCAGCATCTTTCCCTACATCTTTTTTCTTTGTTTTTATTTTTTCATAAACTACATTGTGCTTCATAAACTGCAATCGTAACTCATAATGAACTGTTATTTGTTAAAGTCTGTGTAAAGGACACATATCATAGGAGAAAGTGACAGATAGCTTGAGTGTCTGACGATAAAATTCTAAAACTAGGTGGATGCATTGAATAAAGGTCATACAAGGAGACCTAAGTGCAAACAATTTAAAATGACACGTGGTTTACCAGAATCTAGTTATACAGATATGTACATCACTATGCCCTGCTAAGAGTTTGTAACAATCATTTGTTTTCTGTCTAGAATATTTTCTTTTGAACAATCAATTTTAAATCTCTTTATTTCATTTTCAGTAAGTAGAATTAGTTGGTCGATTAAATGCTTGTAAATTGGAGGATTAAAGGGAAAGAGGGACACACCTTCAAAGAAACAGAACAAGGATATAAAAACCTGTAAAACATTAATATTCCGCAAAAACCATACCACTATGATGTCATTTTTGTCAGGATTTATATTTGACACAATGCTGACATAATGCAGAATGTATTCACATACTTTTTTATTGAACAGAACTATAATAATTTGTTAAAAAATTACATGTTAGCATAGACACTGATTTCTTATGCATGTCAGTGAGAATTCAAAATAATAAAAACAAACGGAGTATAGCACTTTTGAGTTTTGCTTTTTGAAAAATAGCACAAGGAAACTTTTGATGAGTTTAAAAAAAACATTAAATATTTGACTTTGATTTTTCTGTTATGTTATCTTTTTCAAGGCCAAACAAAATGCTACTAAGCAATTTGAGACATAAATAGATCAACTTTTATGGTAAAATATAAATCATACCAAAACTTCAGGCAACTAATGGAGTTGTATAATACTACAACCAAAACAGCTAAAACTTCAGCTTGCACAGAACATGACTTGTAATTTGTAGAAAATAGGCATTTTCCCAATTTTATGATTAAAATAAATAAATTATATACAGCAGCAAATAACTGTCTTTGCTATATTTTATACTTCAGTTCTTCAAATTTCAGTAATAATAATATTGGTAAATGGACTGAACTTATATAGAGATTTATCAAGCCCCATGGGTACCCCAAAGAGCTTTACACTTTAGTCATTCACCCTTTCACAAACTGATGATGGTAAGCTACATTGTAGCCACAGCTACCCTGGGGCGCACTGACAGAGGTGGGGCCACCATGCACCAGCACCACCAGACCCTCTGACCACTGCCAACAGGAAAGGAGGGGGAAGTGTCTTGCCCAAGGACACAACAACTGAAATAGCTTGATTGGGAACGTAATAAGAAAAGACCTTTTCCCTGATTGTGTGTCAGAGGGTCGGGGCTTTGTGGTGGAAACTTCTGAAATCCCAGAACACACCTTTTTAAATCCTCCTCCTCCAGGAATTACACTGACCTTTTGTTTGTGTTGGATAAACTGATTATCAAGACACTTAAAATGATGAACAAGCAGCAGATGT